CAATATACCAATATATCAATATATCTATATATACATGCTCAGGCTTCTTCTTTCCTAATCTACTTTTTGGGTCTCAGCATGAAATTATCTATCTATCTATCTATCTATCTATCAATATACCAATATATCAATATCTATATATACATGCTCAGGCTTCTTCTTTCCTTCTCTACTTTTTGCGTCTCAGCATAAAATTATCTATCTATCTATCTATCTATCTATCTATCTATCTATCTATCTATCAATATACCAATATATAAATATATCTATATCTATATATACATGCTCAGGCTTCTTCTTTCCTTATCTACTTTTTGGGTTTGAGCATAAAATTATCTATCTATCTATCTATCTATCTATCTATCTATCTATCTATCTATCTATATATATATATATATATATAACACCAATATATCAATATATCTATATCTATATATACATGCTCAGACTTCTTCTTTCTTTGCCTACTTTTTGGGTCTCAGCATAAAATTATCTATCTATCTATCTATCTATCTATCTATCTATCTATCTATATATCAATATACCAATATATCTATATATACATGCTTTCCTTGTCTACTTTTTGGGGGATTCAACATAAAATTATATATCTATCTATCTATCTATATCAATATACCAATATACCAATATATCAATATCTATATATACGTCTCAGGCTTCTTCTTTCCTTGTCTACTTTTTGGGTCTCAGCATAAAATTATCTATCTATCTATCTATCTATCTATCTATCATCTATCTATCTATCTATCTATCAATATATCAATATACCAATATATCTATATATCTATATCTATATATACATGCTCAGGCTTCTTCTTTCCTTCTCTACTTTTTGCGTCTCAGCATAAAATTATCTATCTATCTATCTATCTATCTATCTATCTATCTATCTATCTATATACCAATATATAAATATATCTATATCTATATATACATGCTCAGGCTTCTTCTTTCCTTGTCTACTTTTTGGGTTTGAGCATAAAATTATCTATCTATCTATCTATCTATCTATCTATCAATATACCAATATATCTATATATACATGCTTTCCTTGTCTACTTTTTGGGTCTCAACATAAAATTATCTATCTATCTATCTATCTATCTATCTATCTATCTATCTATCTATCTATCTATCTATCTATATCAATATACCAATATACCAATATACCAATATACCAATATACCAATATCTATATATACGTCTCGGAGCCCCCGGTGGCGCAGTGGGTTAAAGCACTGAGCTGCTGAGCTTGTTGATCGAAAGGTCGCAGGTTCGATTCCGGGGAGCGGCGTGAGCTTCCGCTGTCAGCCCTAGCTTCTGCCAACCTAGCAGTTCGAAAACATGCAAATGTGAGTAGATCAATAGGTACCGCTCCGGCGGGAAGGTAACGGCGCTCCATGCAGTCATGCCGGCCACATGACCTTGGAGGTGTCTACGGACAACGCTGGCTCTTCGGCTTAGAAATGGAGATGAGCACCACACCCCAGAGTCAGACATGACTGGACTTAATGTCAGGGGACTACCTTTACCTTTACCTTATATACGTCTCAGGCTTCTTCTTTCCTTGTCTACTTTTTGGGTCTCAGCATAAAATTATCTATCTATCATCTATCTATCTATCTATCTATCTATCAATCTATCAATATATGAATATATCAATACACCAATATATCAATATGTATATATATATATGTTCAGGCTTCTTCTTTCCTTGTATCTATCTATCAATATATCAATATATCAATATACCAATATATCTATATATCTATATCTATATATACATGCTCAGGCTTCTTCTTTCCTAGTCTACTTTTTGGGTTTCAGCATAAAATTATCTATCTATCTATCTATCTATCTATCTATCTATCTATCTATCTATCAATATACCAATATATCTATATCCGTATATACATGCTCAGGCTTCTTCTTTTCTTGTCTACTTTTTGGGTCTCAGCATAAAATTATATATCTATATACCAATATATCAATATCTATATATATACACACACACATATACACACATATGCATATACTAGCTTGGGTGCCACCTCCGCCACATATACACATAATACACATTTTTCACTTTTATTATGTGTGCGTGTGACACACACGACTGACACAATTTTGGAAGCCGGCTCTCTCTTTTGGCAAGACAAAGATATATTAATAACCCATGACATGTGCTTGAAGCACCAATTTCCCTTTTAAAAACCATGCCGTATCCATCCATGCCACATTCTCCACAAAAGGGTCTTTTAACCCCCCCACCCCCCAAAAAATATTACCAAATTTGGGGGTATTAGTATTATATTAATATAAAATATATAATTATAATATTGTATTATTAGTAGTAGTATTATATTATATAATACTACTACTAATAATAATACAATATTATAATTATATATTTTATATTACATGTAATATTACTAATAATACTACAATATAATAGTATAGTACAATATAATGCTGATATCGTGCTATGCTAATAATTTAATATATTGTATGTATATATCTTGTAAGCCGCTCTGAGTCCCTTTCGGGGTGAGAAGGGTGGCATATAAATGCCATTAATAAATAAGTAAATAATAATAATAAATAAATAGTGGCTCAATACATGCCTTCCCAGGTACCTATTATTATTATTATTATTATTATTATTATTATTATTATTATTATTATTATTTTGTGATACGAAATCCAGCATATAGATCTTGTTTGCTGTGACATACTGTGGTTTTGTGTCAGAATAATAATAATAATAATAATAATAATAATAATAATAATAATAATAATTTAAGTTTCCTATGGATTTAAGGCAACCCAATGGATGCCATAGTATTTATTCTTGGGCAAGGAATAGAGATGTTTTTGCCTATTCCTTCCTCTGAAAGAGAGCTTGACATTCCCTGGTATTCTCCCATCCAAGTCCTAGCCAGGGCTGACCCCGCTTAGCTCCCAAGATCCCCAGCTTTGGGGGGTATTTCAGCACTCTTACACCCCCTTCTCCTAGATTTAGGGCAACCCCTTGGATTCCACTTTAAAGCAACCCAATGTGTGCCATAGTTTTTATTCTTGGGCAAGGTCCTGTGGATTTAGGGCAACCCCCTGGATTCCATATTGTTTTATTCTTGGTCAAGGAATAGAGGCGCTTTTGCTTGCTCTGAAATTCAAGCCCTAGCAATGACGGCCCCACATCCAAGTCCTAACCAGGACTGACCCTGCTTAGCTCCCAAGATCTCCTGCTTTGGGGATATTTCAGGACTCTTAAACCCCACTCTCCTGTGGATTTAGGGCAACCCCCTGGATTCCACATTGTTTTATTCTTGGTTAAGGAATAGAGAAGGTTTTGGGTTCTTGTAGGTTTTTTCGGGCTATATGGCCATGTTCTAGAGGCATTATCTCCTGACGTTTCGCCTGCATCTATGGCAAGCATCCTCGGTGGTGGTGGGGTCTATTGGAACTAGGAAAGTGGGTTTATATATCTGTGGAATGACCAGGGTGGGACAAAGGGTTTGCTCCTTCCTCTGAAATTCAACCCCTAGCAATGGCGGTTCCCCATCCAAGTCCTAACCAGGACTGACCTTGCTTAGCTCCCAAGATACTCTGCTTTTTGGGTATGTCAGCATGCTTTAGCCTCACACTCCTGTGGATTTAGGGCAACCCCCTGGATTCCATATTGTTTTATTCTTGGTCAAGGAATAGAAGCGCTTTTGCTTGCTCTGAAATTCAAGCCCTAGCAATAACGGCCCCCCATCCAAGTCCTAATCAGGGCTGACCCTGCATAGCTCCCAAGATCCCCTGCTTTGGGGATATTTCAGGACTCTTAAACCCCACTCTCCTGTGGATTTAGGGCAACCCCCTGGATTCCACATTGTTTTATTCTTGGTTAAGGAATAGAGAAGGTTTTGGGTTGTTGTAGGTTTTTTCGGGCTATATGGCCATGTTCTAGAGGCATTCTCTCCTGACGTTTCGCCTGCATCTATGGCAAGCATCCTCAGAGGTAGTGAGGTCTATTGGAACTAGGAAAGTGGGTTTATATATCTGTGGAATGACCAGGGTGGGACAAAGGGCTTGCTCCTTCCTCTGAAATTCAACCCCTAGCAATGGCGGCCTCCCATCCAAGTCCTAACCAGGGCTGACCTTGCTTAGCTCCCAAGATACTCTGCTTTTGGGGTATTTCAGCAGGCTTTAACCCCACTCTCCTGTGGATTTAGGGCAACCCCCTGGATTCCATATTGTTTTATTCTTGGTCAAGGAATAGAGGAGCCTTTGGGTTGTTGTAGGTTTTTTCGGGCTATATGGCCATGTTCTAGAGGCATTCTCTCCTGACGTTTCGCCTGCCCTATGGCAAGCATCCTCAGAGGTAGTGAGGATGCTATTGGAACTAGGAAAGTGGGTTTATATATCTGTGGAATGACCAGGGTGGGACAAAGGGCTTGCTCCTTCCTCTGAAATTCAAGCCCTAGCAATGGCGGCCTCCCATCCAAGTCCTAACCAGGGCTGATCCTGCTTAGCTCCCAAGATACTCTGCTTTTGAGGTTTTCAGCAGGTTTTAACCCCACTCTCCTGTGGATTTAGGGCAAACCCCTGGATTCCATATTGTTTTATTCGTGGTCTAGGAATAGAGGTGCTTTTGCTTGCTCCTTCCTCTGAAATTCAACCCCTAGCAATGGCGGACCCCCATCCAAGTCCCAACCAGGGTTGACCCTGCTTAGCTTCCAAGATCCCCTGCTTTGGGGATATTTTAGGACTCTTAAACCCCACTCTCCTGTGGATTTAGGGCAACCCCCTGGATTCCACATTGTTTTATTTTTGGTCAAGGAATAGAGGAGCTTTTGCTTACTCCTTCCTCTGAAATTCAATGGCGGACCCCCATCCAAGTCCCAACCAGGGCTGACCCTGCTTAGCTCCCAAACTCAGAGGGAGTCTGATTCTTTTAGGGTCACCCTTACACACACCAGCAAGCCTCTTACCTTATTCCACAGCTCCTGGGACCCATGGGAGGCGTTCAGTTTCTCTCCTTTCCTCTCCTTAGCCTTCCTCTTGCGACAGCCCTGCCGCCCATGCTTTTGCCACGTCCGAGCCCTTGCCCAGGCTACCATAGGGCGGCAAAAGGGCGAGGGTCCAGTTCGGGAGGCGCCAGGGTTGCCCAGAGGAGTCTCCAAGGAGAAATGAGAACCAGAAGGTGGGGATAAGAATCAGAAGGTGGAAATAAGAATCAGAAGGTGGGAATAAGAATCCGAAGGTGGGAATAATCAGGAGCTGTCTTTGAGGCTTCAGCAATGCCAAACTGTGCCAAAAAGGGAAGACGGATTTGGAGGAAAGCCTCGCCCAAACTGGAGCAACCCAAGGGTGCAAATATGGGAAGGGAAACCCTTCAGAGAATCCGAGGAAAAGCTTGGCAATCAGCAGACAACAAAAAGGCGCATGGAGGAGGCGAAAGAAGGAAGGGATTCCTCCTTCCCTTTCCAGGGCGTGGAAAGCCGGCAAAAGCGGTTAGGACAAGACTAAAAGCGGGTTTTTTTTTAAAAAATGCCAAGGCATGGGAGGTTCTAATGGCAACGGGTCTTCCCGATAATCCGAATCGGAGGGTGTCAGATTGGGAGAGGAAAAGGCGAGGCGCACAAAGGCGCAAAAAGGAGTCGCGTAAAAAGGAGTCGCGTAAAATCAGCAAGGGCGCACGGCTCTCTCTCTGCTTTCTCTCTCTGCTTTCTCTTCCTTGGAGACAAGAAAAGGTTTGAAGCAGCCCCCCCAAAATGCACACACAAAGAGAGAGGGGTTCTGTCTCCCTTTGTGTCCCCCTCCCCCGGCCTAAATCGTCCTTGGCGAAAGGATGGAGAGGTGTTTGGAGAGATTGCTTTTCGGAGAGGCGGCGCCCACGTTCCGGTTCTCGCCGGCTCAGGAGCACCAACCCGGCTTTCCCAACCTCAGAGGCCGGCTTCTTCTCTCCTCCTCCTCCTCTTCCTCCTCCTCCTTCTCTTCCTCCTCCTTCCTCCTCCTCCTCCTCGTTGCTTGGCGAAGGGAGGCGCCTCGGCCGACGCCCACGGTTGGCATCCCACGCCGAGCACCAACCCAATGCCTTTTTGTGCCTCTTTGGAATGGAGTTAGTGGTGCCAAAGGAGGGCAGAGCTAAGCTTTGGGGTCAGGAAAACAAACACAAAAATGCCCAGGGAAGAAAGGCAAAGAGAATGCCTACTCTTAAGAGGCTCCTTCCAGCTGAGTCAGATCCTCCTCCATTTCCAGCATCGATATGATCGACTCTAACCAGCAGCCACGGTTTGGAGGCATGGCTCGAACCCAGGCCAAGCTTTTCTCTCTCCAGCTCGTTCCTTTTTTTGGTTTGCCTCTTGGCCAGAGATGGAGAGGGATGCAGGATCCAGGCCGCTTTCCTTCCTTCCTCCCTTCCTTCTCTGCTGGGTACCAAAAAAGTGGGAGGGGGATGTCTTCCTGATCATGAATATGCAAATAAAGGGGAAGGGATAAGGCAGGTCACGCCCCTTCGATTTCTTAAAGGCATCCAGACCCCTTTCAACCTCCTTGAAGGAGGGTGAGCTCTGGAACAGCTGTTCCAGGAGCTCCAAATTTATTTGCTTTGAATTAAATGTTGGTTTGCAACCCCAGGCTTGGGATTTTGCAGCAGGGTGGCTTCCTGTTATAGTTTGCAATCATAGGGCAAGCCACCTGTCTATTATAGTTAGGATCCCTGGTCCCGCCCCTCTCTGGGTTTTTTGGAGGGAAGGGGCCATCTTTCAGTTAGTCTCAGCAAAGGAAGTTAATGCAGAGGATGTATACAGACGTCCTCCTGTGCAAAGGCTTCGTCCCTTAAGACTTTCTGGGGGAGAACAATCTTGAGAGCCTCTAAAGCAGTGGTTCTCAACCTGGGGTCCCCAGATGTTTTTGGCCTACAACTCCCAGAAATCCTAACAGTTGGTAAACTGGCTGGGATTTCTGGGAGTTGTAGGCCAAAAACATCTGGGGACCCCAGGGTTGAGAACCACTGCTCTAAAGATTCCCAAAGGTTCCAGGGAAACAGTCTTACAGCCCTGAGGAATTCCAGAGGGAATAACAGCTCTAACCATCAAAGCAGCTAAGTGATTACAAGCCTTTTGATAGGTTCACTCGGCGTTGAGACGCAGTTCAGCCCGGTAGTGAATCCACATCAATAAGGTTTAGGTTCACAGCAGCTTGGGAGGAGCTAGAAAGGGGAATTTTCCTTTGAACAAGGTTTTTGAAGATAGTGCCTGTTTCCTGTGAACAAGATTGCAAGAGCCAAGAGACTGTTTAGAAAACTTTACAATTCCTGTTTGTTCATCAATAAAAGACTCATATATTTTTTAGGTCAAGCCTCATAAAGACTGTTTAATAAGGGAAATTTCTCTAAAGGCTTCTTTTCGGGGGCCCTGGCTTTCCGCTGGATCCAAGCCATACATCCTCTCTTAAAATCACTTCATTTCAAGTCCAGCGGCGACAGAACAGGGTGAGCTTTGGCTGGATAATCATAGAATCAAAGAGTTGGAAGAGACCTCCTGGGCCATCCAGTCCAACCCCATTCTGACAAGAAGCAGGAATATTGCATTCAAATCACCCCTGACAGATGGCCATCCAGCCTCTGTTTAAAAGCTTCCAAAGAAGGAGCCTCCACCACACTCCGTGGCAGAGAGTTCCACTGCTGAACGGCTCTCACAGTCAGGAAGTTCTTCCTCATGTTCAGATGGAATCTCCTCTCTTGTAGTTTGAAGCCATTGTTCCGCGTCCTAGTCTCCAAGGAAGCAGAAAACAAGCTTGCTCCCTCCTCCCTGTGGCTTCCTCTCACATATTTATACATGGCTATCATATCTCCTCTCAGCCTTCTCTTCTTCAGGCTAAACATGCCCAGCTCCTTAAGCTGCTCCTCATAGGGCTTGTTCTCCAGGCCCTTGATCATTTTAGTCGCCCTCCTCTGGACACATTCCAGCTTGTCAATATCTCTCAATTGTGGTGCCCAGAATTGGACACAATATTCCAGGTGTGGTCTAATCAAGGCGGAATAGAGCATGGGGAGCATGACTTCCGTAAACCTAGACACTAGGCTCTTCTTGATGCAGGCCAAAATCCCACTGGCTTTTTTTGCCGCCACATCGCATTGTTGGCTTATGTTTAACTTCCTCCCCACGAGGACTCCAAGATCTTTTTCACACGTACTGCTCTCGAGCCAGGCCTCATCGTCCCCCATTCTGTATCTTTGCATTTCGTTTTTCCTGCCAAAGTGGAGAATCTTGTATTTGTCACTGTTGAACTTTTAGCATAAATGTTAAACTCATGTCCTGTGTTTTCATTCTTGTCCTGTGTGTTTAATATTTTATTTATTTATTTATTTATTTATTTATCACATTTCTATCCCGCCCTTCTCCCCACAAAGGGACTCAGGGTCGCCTTACGTAAGCATTCGAAGATGCTATCCAAATAATAATAATAATAATAATAATAATAATAATAATAATAATAAACCTTTATTTATACCCCACTACCATCTCCCAAAGGACTTGGTGTGGCTTACAAGAGGCGGAGCCCAAACACATCAACAAAATAACAACATATATATATAGGCAGAAAAAACGAAATGCAAAGATACAGAATGGGTGACGATGAGGCCTGGCTCGAGAGCAGTACGTGTGAAAAAGATCTTGGAGTCCTCGTGGACCACAAGTTAAACATGAGCCAACAATGTCATGTGGCGGCAAAAAAGCCAATGGGATTTTGGCCTGCATCAAGAGGAGCATAGTGTCTAGATCTAGGGAAGTCATGCTCCCCATGCTGTATTCCGCTTTGGTTAGACCACACCTGGAATATTGTGTCCAATTCTGGGCACCACAATTGAGGAGAGATGTTGACAAGCTGGAATGTGTCCAGAGAAGAGCTACTAAAATGATCAAGAGACTGAAGAACAAGGCCTATGAGGAGTGGCTTAAGGAGCTGGGCATGTTTAGCCTGAAGAAGAGAAGGCTGAGAGGAGATATGATAGCCATGTATAAATATGTGAGAGGAAGCCACAGGGAGGAGGGAGCAAGCTTGTTTTCTGCTTCCCTGGAGACTAGGACGCAGGAACAATGGCTTCAAACTACAAGAAGGAGATTCCATCTGAACATGAGGAAGAACTTCCTGACTGTGAGAGCCGTTCAGCAGTGGAACTCTCTGCCCCGGAGTGTGGTGGAGGCTCCTTCTTTGGAAGCTTTTAAACAGAGGCTGGATGGCCATCTGTCAGGGGTGATTTCAATGCAGTATTCCTGCTTCTTGGCAGGGGGTTGGACTAGATGGCCCATGAGGTCTCTTCCAACTCTTTGATTCTATGATTCTATGATTATCCAAGGGCAGTCCAGGTCGCCAAGAAGCAGGAATCCCTTTCAAAGCACCCCTGACAAATGGCCATCCAGCCTATGTTTAAAAGTCTCCAAAGAAGGAGCCTCCACCACACTCCGGGGCAGAGAGTTCCACTGCTGAACGGCTATTGATGAGGTCTCTTCCATCTCTTTGATTCTATGATTCTGTATCAATAGAATCACAATTAAAGCTATAAAATCCATTTTAAAACATTATATAAAATTCAACAATTCATGTTATAGAAATACTAGCCGTCCCCTGCCACGCGTTGCTGTGGCCCAGTCTGTGTATATGTGTTTTGTGTGGGTATATGTGTGTGTATATCTTTGTGTATATGTGTATATAGTGTGTTTGTGTGTATATGTGTGTGTGTGTGTGTTTGCATATGTATGTGTGTGTGTATATATAATGGTATATTTATTGGTTTTGCTTTTTAAGTCTCTTCAACTCCCATGATTCCCTAGCATTGAACCACGGCAGTCGAGTGGTATCAAACTGCCTTAATTCGACAGTGTGAATGCACCCTGAGATTCCAGAGACCAGAGTTCAAATCCCTTCTCAGTCATGGAAGTCCTTAGGATGACCTTTGCCCTCCTGAGAGTCACCAAATGAGTTTTAATGTCCAAGTGGGGATTTAAATCCTGATCTCCCAACGTACTTATCCTATAGTCCACATCTTGGCTCTTGCTCAAAACCATATTCAGCTAGAATCTCTCCATTGAGTGTCTCGTCTTCTTTTTTTTTTTTTTGTTTCCCAAAGAGCGTGTCCCTGGCTGTAACCCAGTTTTGGGGAGCTTTGGGAAACTCAGCATTTCCAGCCAGGGATTAAGCCTGGCTGTCTGGCTCAGCAAAGATATTAATAGAGCTCCCCTCTTCTGTTTTTGGATCTTTTTCTCCCCAAAGCTGCTAGTGGCACAGAAACGTCCCAAAGCGGAACCAATAACCCTGTGTCATTCAAAAGCTTGCTATCATCAGGATAACAGCTGGAGTCATTGGAAAATATTTTCTTCCCTTCTTTGGGGCATTCTGCATGCCGAAATGTATTCTGGGGATCCATAATGTTTGCAAGACACAGCCTTATATCCCAGAATATCAAGGCAGAAAATCCCACAATATCTGCCTTGAACTGGCTTATCTGAGTCCACACTCAGATAATGTGGGATTTCCTGCATTGATATTCTGGGATATAGGGCGGTGTGGAAGGGCCCAGACAGGAGGAAACCATGAAAATGAACAAAATCTGGTCACTAGTATTAAAAAGCACCATAGAATCATAGGATCAAAGAGTTGGAAGAGACTTCATGGGCCATCCAGTCCAACCCCATTCTGCCAAGAAGCAGGAATGTTGCATTCAAATCACCCCTGACAGATGGCCATCCAGCCTCTGTTTAAAAGCTTCCAAAGAAGGAGCCTCCACCACACTCCGGGGCAGAGAGTTCCACTGCTGAACGGCTATCACGGTCAGGAAGTTCTTCCTAATGTTCAGATGGAATCTCCTCTCTTGTAGTTTGAAGCAATTGTTCCATTGCGTCCTAGTCTCCAAGGAAGCAGAAAACAAGCTTGCTCCCTCCTCCCTGTGGCTTCCTCTCACATATTTATACATGGCTATCATATCTCCTCTCAGCCTTCTCTTCTTCAGGCTAAACATGCCCAGCTCCTTAAGCCGCTCCTCATAGGGCTTGTTCTCCAGACCCTTGATCATTTTACTCGCCCTCCTCTGGACACATTCCAGCTTGTCAATATCTCTCTTGAATTGTGGTGCCCAGAATTGGACACAATATTCCAGGTGTGGTCTAACCAAAGTGAAATAGAGCATGGGGAGCATGACTTCCCTAGATCTAGACACTAAGCTCCTATTGATGCAGGCCAAAATCCCATTGGCTTTTTTTGCCGCCACATCACATTGTTGGCTCATGTTTAACTTGTCCACAAGGACTCCAAGATCTTTTTCACACGTACTGCTCTCGAGCCAGGCATTGTCCCCCATTCCATATCTTTGCATTTCGTTTTTCCTGCCAAAGTGGAGTATCTTGCATTTGTCCCTGTTGAACTTCAT